AAATTTTGATGCCCCATGCATCCATAGTGAAAGGATTCGTCGACAGTCTTGATCAACCATCACTTCTTGCTCGCTTGCTCTGACCTGAAATTGTTAACCACATATAATGAGCTTCAAAAAGCCCAGCTGGTCACCAAAGCCTACAACTGAAATCAAAGCACGGTACTGAAACAATATGCATGTCAGTCAATCAAATCCATAACAGTCAGTTGCACATAATCAGTGAATCTATGCAGCGGATACGAAAATCAGAAATCAATGCATGATCGATACAATCCACAATCATCGGTAAAAGATTCGATAAACAGTAGGAAGAAATCCATAAACAGTAGAAAAAAATTTATATTCGGAAGAATCTCAGTTAAATCGATCAGTCAAATTGATAGAGAAAAATCGTCGTCTCAATAATATCAGTTAAATCAATATCGTATCAATAGAATTAATCATCTCTGGTCAATAACATCAATCGGTACGAAATCATATAAAACAATCAAACCAATACGGTGCAAGAACGGTGGAAATCAAATCAATACAGTAAAACCTATTCCATAACAGTCAATGAATCACATGCAGCAGTTCAACACTATGTATCAATGAAGCGATAATATCAATGAATCAATGCAATATCGATATCCATATCAGTATCAGTATCAATGCTCAGTGAAATAATGCGAATATCAATGAAATTGTACAGTAACAGTAAATCCGTCAATAAATAAATTTCAATACAAATCCGTTGATATCAATAAATCCATGAATCCATAATGAGATCAATAGGTCAATACCGTACACATGCAATTCAGTACAGTAGTCTTACTGAACAAGTACAATCACTGGCTATTAAGGCGTTTTTCGGTATCGATATATCGTTGTGTCGTTATATCCGTTGGCTCAATAAGAGTAGTCACTCTGTACCCGTCGGCCGCCCGTCGGCATAATAATCTCCTTATGACTCCCAATCGTTATATTAATGATCAATAGAGGATATCGCCAAACCATTTTTAAAGGAAAGCCCGTCGGCCCACCATCCTGTACAGGTCAAATCAATCTCCAACCAACGGTTCAACCAGTCTTCACTTGTCTTTCAGTAACAATAACAATAATTCAATCATAACATTCGTATGCATATTCAATCATTCGAATCATCAATTCAAAAAATCAGAGATCGTACGAGAAATCGGCAGCATAACGGCAGTATACGGAATGTACACAGAAATCACAAATTCAGAAATTTATCAAATTACCGGAAATCGAATAAAACAACGTTTCAAAGCTTTACTTGTACTGAAGCAACAATTTCCAACATCCTGAAAATTTTCGTCAATACAAACTTATGCGCGTTTTTCGGTAACGGAAACACAAAACTGAGCACATAATTATCAAAACTCGAAATCTTCGAAAACAGAAATAGGATTCGGATTCCTTACTGCGAGAAAAATAAATATTCCAACTTCGTCGTTGGACGAAAAGCGCTCCGCGGGCTCCAAAACCAAGCTTTCCCTTTCTTTCCTTCTCTTTCTCTCTCCTGCCTTCACTTTCTTTCTCTTCAAAATATTTCCAAAATATCTCAAATCCGATACTTATCAAGCAGGATCGTCCAGGACGATGCCCAGATCGTCCCGGGACGAACTCCTCTGGACACGGATCGTACAGACGACATTAATTCCAATTTGTTTCGTCCCTAGACGATGCTCTCGGGTTCGGTTCGTCTCGACGGTTCGTCCCGACTGTTCCAGGTTCGTACAGACGAAATTGACAGATTTCTTCACAATTTTCTCCAGTTCGTCCCGTACTAAGGCCAGTTCGTCCGGACTAATAGCACTCACAAAAATCAGCTTTTTAAGGGTTTTACATTACCCTCGTCTTTGAAGATGAGGGTATTTGTGCGATAAAAGTTCAATTCCACTCAAATTTAAGTTAAAAAAATTGATACATCGAGTAAATTCAGCAATTATTTTGACGCCATCAATAAAAATGGATTGCTTTGAAAACTGATAATCATGGTGAGGGATCATAGTGAAATCTGAAAATGATGTTATAAACCATAGTAGATCTACATCGGTTTAGATCATTTTTAAAGTCGTGGATCTTCATGAAGAGAAGCTTAACTTGTGGCACTTAAATGATATTTAACCTTTATATTTATTCTTTCTGAAATCTAATTGGCATTGCTGTACATGCAGAATTATTATATTTACCACATTCCCGAAATACAATTGTCAATGATGGTTGCATACCCAAAACCTAAATTCTATATAATTGATGGAAATGCAAAAAATTATTTTAAGTTGAACAAATTTATTTTCTGCATATAGTTTATTCAAAAGTTGTCAGCATAATGTTGCTCAATCTAATAATACTTTCATTCTTACTGTTAAGCAAATCTCTTTAGTATTAAATTAAAACTAATAACCTATATTTAGTTTCTTAACATTGACCATGTAGCATTTAAAAGACCTTACCCAGTTCATCTCTCAGAACAAATATCGTACGCATTGGACGTTCTTAAAGGAAAACTAGGGGATGTTGAGGACTTGAGAAGAACAATGATCTTTTCTGACATAAATCCAAATTTTAGTTTTTAGTGTACTTTTGTTGTAATGTCCTAGATGAATATGTTGTGTAATTTATGGTTGGTTCTTGTGGGATTTGAAGTTGTTGCAGCTATAAAGTTATTTTGTTCTCTGTTTGTTCCATGCAGAGCTTCCTCTTGAGCCTTCATTGTCAAGGACTTTAATTGAGGCAAATGAATTAGGATGTTTGTCTCAAGCATTAACTGTTGTTGCAATGCTGTCAGCTGAAATCACACACTGTCCTATTCAGAGGTGAGTTTTTGTTACTGTTTTTCTAGAAACAGTCTTCAAATATACATCCCGTTTAAAATGGATTTGGTAGAAATGTCTGGTTTGCCCTCATATTGATCACTTGCATCATGCCTTGACCTATGTAAAAACAAGTGTAGATATCCATGATAGGATTCCATGGAGGCAAAATTAATTTAATCGCCTCCAAAATTGATGTAAGCAAAAATTTAGGAAGTGCCCCAAATTTTTGCTAGAAAAATAAGACTTTCCTAGGAGATATAAAGAAAAACATTAAATACTCAAAAATACCCAAAAAGACACTTTTTATAATAAAAGATGACTTACAAAATTTTGACTCTTACAAACGACTCAAACAAAACACCTAAAATTGCTTTCATCCATTAGAAGAAGGATACAGGTGAGGTGTAAACTTGCGGATAGACGAAGAGATAAGAAGCCGAGAAGAAATGGAGACAAGCTCGCAAGCTTTCTCAAAGAGGGAAGGAAAGAGGGAAGTTGGACAAAGCTCGCAAGCTTTTCCAAACAACAAACCCGCAGGTTTTCTATTCCTCAAATAACTCACATAAACTTCTCTTTCTATCTCAAAATATCTTATATTTATAGGCAAGAGAGGGGAACCAAACAGCCCCAAAATCTCTTCAAATACTTAGTTAAATGAGGGAAATGAAAGGCCAATAGCCCTTTTTTTTTATTCCCAAACAGCACAGCAAAACAAAGGAGGGAATCTCATGGAACCAAGTAGGAACCGCAGAACCAAACAACCAACCACGGAACCAAGGGGGCAAAGGCATGGAATTTCTCCCAGCACAGGGAAATCAACAGCCAGTCACGGAAATCCAAGGGACAGAGCACGGGAGAAGAAAAAAAGGGGGGGGGGAGGAAGAGACAAGTCCACTTCAAAATAAATCCATACCTTTTTAGATTAATAAGCTAGGTAGTTCAATAAATCTCCCATTTAATGAACAAAAAAACTGCTCGAAGTATTAATGAGCTAGAGAAGACAAAACCAAAATTTAGGATTTGATTTGACCCCCCCCCCTTGCCTACATCAGACTCCCCTACTTGAAAAACTCATCTCCCGATGTTTTGCTTTCTTTCGAGGAGGTGAAGACAGTGCATCCAGTTCTTGAATTTTTTCTTCATACCTTTTTAGAATTTTTTCTCGTTCTTACATAAACTGATTTTGTAAGAGTTGTTTCTTTATGTACCGCTCCGTACGCAAATGCATCCATGACTGAAGTTTGTATAGCTCATATTGCAGGGGATTTGTTGAATCTGACGGAATCCATCTGTCCATCGAAAGAGGGTCTTCAGGATCGTCTGGCTTGCTTTCATTTTTGATTGTCGATCTTTTTGTCTTTTCTCATTTTTCTAAAAAAAAAAAGACTCAACAAAACAAGACTCAAAGAAAGAACGACTCAATCTAAAGAAACCTAGACTCACATACAATAACTATGACTCACCAAGATTTACTTGACAAACCGACTCATAAATCTAGGACTTCCTAACTTGCTCTGATACCAAATTGATGGACCTTCCTAGGAGATATTAAAAAAAATATAAAATACTCAAAAATACCCAAAAAGACACTTTTTATAATAAAAGATGACTTACAAACTTTTGATTCTTACAAACGACTCAAACAAAACACCTAAAGTTACTTTAATCCATTAGAAGAAGGATACAGGTGAGGTATAAATTTGCTGATAGATGAAGAGATAAGAAGCCGAGAAGAAATGAAGACAAGCTCGCAAGCTTTCTTAAAGAGGGAAGGAAAGAGGGAAGTTGGACAAAGCTCGCAAGTTTTTCCAAACAAACAACAAACCCGTAGGTTTTCTATTCCAAAAATAACTCACATAAAACTTCTCTTTCCATCTCAAAATATCTTATATTTATAGGCAAGAGAGTAGAAACCAAACTGCCCCAAAATCTCTTCAAATACTTAATTAAATGAGGGAAATGAAAGGCCAACAACCCTTTTTTTTTAATTCTCAAACGGCACAGCAAAATAGAGGAGGGAAACTCACGGAACCAAGCAGGAACCGCAGAACCAAATAGCCAACCACGGAACCAAGGGGGCAATGACACGAAATTTCTCCCAGCACAGGGAAATAAACAGCCAATCACGGACTCGAGGGGGCAAAGATTCCTAACCGCCGGTCAACCTCAACAAGATTCCTTCCACTTAACCCACACCCCTTCCTCCTTAGCCAAACGCCACCCAAACCCCAAACCCTAACCGACGGCCTTTTCCTCCCATGGATCCAAAAGTGATTGCCTTGCCTTTTTTCAAAAGTGGAGTATAAAGATTAGGAGGGAACTCCAATTCAAAATACGATTTCAAATTTAGATTTTGAATTCTTTCATAAATTGATATAATCTATATTTGGAAAGTGCTCAATTCGTGGATCTAATTTACCTAGCCCAAGCCCTTGGCCGCCAGCTTGAAGCTTCCAAACCCCGCCCCTTTACCTCCCTAACCCTCCACCCCCCAAGCCGTCGGTCTCCCATCATCCGCTTGCCGCCTCTTTCCCCAAGCCACTCATAGCTGGCCTCCCCTAACCTCCACTAGTTGTCGTCCCCTCCCTACCATGACCCTTGAATTTTGAATTTCAAAAATCAAATCAATCTTAATTACTTTCCTAATTTATCCCTTTATTAATTTGGAAAGTTGCCTCATTTGAATTCAAATTATATTTGAATTTCGAACTTTCCCTATTAACCAACTTAAATTGGGAAACCTCTCAATTACATTAAATATGAAATCAATTTCAGATAATGACGATTTCTAATTCAATCCTCGGGCCCATACATCGAGTCTAGACACATAAAGGCGCCCCCCTCCTCTATGGCCGGCCCCTTTATGGCTTTCCTCTCTCTCCAATTCTCCCTTAATTCACATTAAATATTCCTCTTAATCCCCTCCCAACCGCCGGCCCCATTATAGCCCAAATTTGGATAATATTCAATTCAAATTGATCCCTCCCCTCACTTAGTAAATATGAATTTAATTTCAGATTTTCTAAACCCCTCTTTCCACCTCACTAGACCTTACCCTAGCCGGCCCCTCCCTTTCCCTTCTCCACCCCAACTCTCCAAACCGCCCCCTCCATTGTTCTCCTTCTCCTTTCCCATCGCCGATTCCCCTTCAAGGCCATGAAGAACGAAGAAGCTCCTCCTAGTCCATGGATGGCAGATCCCGACATTGATCTCAGGTTCGCATATGATTACCATGGAAGGAAGGACATTCCTCGATCTACCTTCTTCAATTTGAGCATGAACGTCGACGACTCTGTGGAAGGCTACATTAACTGCATCACCTTCACGTTGGCACCGGCAATTGAGGAGCACCTCCCAATCGGATTGTGGTCGATTGCGGGACGCCCTAATTGCCTATATCACTTCCTGCACCTTTTAACGAACTTTAGGTGAGTCTGATTAAGTGTTTAGGTGCTGTCCTTGACCCAACAACCATCCTAATTGCCTAGATTACTTAAGTCTCTCTTGTAGCTTGCTGTCTAGTAATTTGCTGCATCATATAGCGTGTCATAATTGTGTTTTCTCCTTGTAGAGTGCTGTCCCCTTAGACTCAATCTTCATTAGGTATCACTTAGAGCTTCCCAATGGACCTAATAGGACTTCAAAAGAAGTTAGATGACCTTGTTAATCTAGTGGGCTCTAGAACTAAAACCATGTTGACTCTCCCCACTCCTAATATGTGCCCCATTTAGTCAATCATGTTAGTCGAAAGATTACCCACTTTGCATTTCAACCTAGTCCTGAGCCCAAGCCGCAACAACCTCACTTAGAGTCACATAACCATCTGCCCGCCTTTGATGGTTCCTCGGATCCTTACTACTTTAAGGAATGGGTTAGACAATTAGAAGATTATTTTGAATCTGTTGATATACCTAAGTCCCATCGGGTGAGCATTGCTAAGTCTCGCCTAAATGGTCATGCTCGTCAATTTTGGATGAGGTTGGAAGATCATAAAGAGTCTCGTGGTGAATACTCTACTTCTGATTGGAAAGGCATGAGAAGAGAACTAAGATTAAAATATATTCCCCCTACGTGTGGCCAACCATCTAATTTTAAGATCAGGTTACCCCTAGTTCATCAAACTTTTAGGGTACAACATTCTCAAGAACCCTACATGTGAAAGTCATTCCTACTAACCTTATACAGTCCAATTTGATATCGTGACTCTTAGTCTTCACCAAGCGACAGTTACTCAGTTCCCTAACTCTGTGGTTACCCCTAAACTTGTCCGACATACCACTCCGACTCACGTAGTGGCCTCACCACCTAGTGATCTACACCTGGAACACCACCTGTCTCTTTTGTTAGGACAACCCGTGGACATCACTGTGCTCGAGACCACCCATCCCTTAGTAACATCAGGGTTGCTGCCCCATCCTGTAGGTCTTCACCTCGCCTTGATGGCCGACCCTTATTGGGTCTTCTATTGATCGGTCCCAAATAACTCCCCACTTGGGCCGACTCCTAGCCCTCCCAATCAACCTTGTATGAGCACACACCCTCTCTGTGTGGTGGATCTCGATTTACCTCACTTTGTGGGTGACTTTACCACCTTTCAATTTAATGAGAATTCTATAATTACCCAACCTTTAGCCTCGCTAATTTTTGACCCTACAAGTGTAGTTTTAATCAAATTTTGTATTACAAAGAAAAAGTCATCTGAACCTGAAACTGAGTGAATCCATTTCGTGGATATTAATGATATCACGGATAACGAGTACTTCTTTGAGGATGAAATTGAAGTGATTGAATTAGACTCTCGGCATGACTTAAACCCTTATTTAGGAGATTTAGAATCCTAAAACATTGATACCTTAGCCCATCCTGACCCTAATCTCATCAAGGATATTCCTTTGCATAAAGTCTACTTGGATGATATCAAATTGATCTCGAAAGAAATTGTTCTGACCTTGAGCACTTCGAAATTAAATTCAGAAGGTTCTGATTTACTTGTGTCTCCT